GTGCAAATTAAAATATAGTTCTGCAAATGTATTTGATAATGTTTTGAACTTTTAAAATATTGTATGGTAAAACCAGAAGCTGCTCTTCATATTAGTGACAAACTTTGGTGTTTTTTGATGAGTTACTTTCATTTTWTGCTTCTACTTTTCATTTAAAATCAGTTTCCATTCTCGGCAGGTTTCTAAGGTTCTTCTTCTACATWTTAAAAAGTTGTTAAACATCTGAAAGGTGCACTGCTGCTACTAGTGGTGAGAAAGTGTATTGCGTCAAAATCAATGTGGTCCCATGGCCCTCTGTGGCCCAAAGTTAAAAAGTGTTGTTCTTCTGAGGCCCTCAAGGTGGCGCTCACAGCCCACAATTGGGTCGCGGCTCATAGGTTAAGAATCTCTGAATTAGAGTATCCTAAGGAGGCTCAGTGGAGAGTTGAAGAGAAGACACTAAAACGTCCAGCATGTTGACCTCATTACAAGAGGCTGTAATGCTTCTTTTCTCAGTTTAAACTCATTGTTTAATTCCTTTCTCTCTCCTCACTCCCACGTCAGCTTGTTCAACATCCAAGCTCGGGCCAGCAGAGGCAACTCCTCAACCAACAGTGACCTCCAGAGCGGCAGCAGCATCTGCCAGACAACATCCAGGCCTCAAACTTTTCTCAGTCAGGCTGCCATGACAGCGACACATCCTGCTCTCCAGCCTCCGGAAGTGACAGTTGGCCTTGCAGCTCCTTTCCTGTTCAAGCCCCCGTTCTCGCCCCCTCCTCTGGGCTCTTCTGCAGCAAGCGCCCGACCCCCGCGTCAGGCAATGTGTGCAGAAACGCAGGACAAGGGCACAAAGAGAGCCTTGGTTTCACCCATGATGCCTCAGCCGCTCCACATACAAGGTTCCCCTCAACACCGACACGCTCACAGACAGGCGCTGCTCCATCAAATGATGCTTTGATAGGACAGCTCTGCTGCTGATACTCTGAAAAAAATAAATTGTAAGATGTAATTAAAAAATCCTCTAACAAATTTGCACTAATGTTTGTTAAGTAAATTTAAATGCTACAAATTCATGTAATATTTACTCATCATTATCTAGTAAAAGTTATTAAGAATATAGTTAAAG